AGAGCCGAATTTAAAATATCCTGCAAGAAGCAAAAGAATATTAAAGGCATGCACCAAGGTAATGAGAAATTATTTTTTCAAAAGATTTAAATTTAAATTTACCTGTGGACTCTCGGAAGAGAGGTTGCTAGCTATGCGTTCCAACATTACGTTGGAGGTCGAAGATGGAATTTTGGATTTAGGTGAGGGAGCAGCATCCCTGGAATCGAGTCCAGAGACACTAGTGGGTACAACACTTTTTGAAATATCCTTCTTCTGCTTCTTCTTTGAAGCAGCTGGTAAATTCCCTCCAGCCTTGGGGTCTTCCCCAGTAGTGTTTGATTTTCGCTTCTTTGGAGTGGTAGGCGGAAGTTTGTTGGTCTGAAAAGATTTAAACAAAGAGTTAGATGCAAATCATGAAACATTAGTGTATTCGAAACATCAAGGCTAAGTGATTACCTGTGGAGTTGGGGCACTAGCTATTACTGGTGTTGTTGTTGTTGTTGCAGCAATTGTTGTTGGTTCGGATGGAGTCACATTGTCAATGGTTTCAATAGAGGCTTGAGAGGCGCTCCCTTCTTTTGACTTTGAAGCAGCAGTCTTTATCCTGATGGCTGAAAATCGAACAATTAAGGCAAAAGTTAAAGATATAGAAAATAAGAAGCGTTTGGGATTTTCCCAAGCATTCGCACCTGTGCCTTGATCAGATTTAATCGACATGGCAGAAAGGTCATAGCGAAGATGTCCTGGGAAATCGTGGAGCCAGTGTCGAGCCCATGTCACAGTCTCAGATGGCTTTGGTTTATTTTGAAGATGTTTGAACATTTCTTTGCAAGTGAACCACCAAGGGTATGGAGGAAACCAAGCCAGAGCCAGTTCTGAGGTAGGTAATCTAGGAAATTTAGGTGGATGCATTTCGAATGCCAACCTATACCTATCCTCAGGTGACAACCCTGAAGGAAGTTTTAACTTAGAAACTTTTTCTTTGAATTTTTCCTTCAAGGTCTCAGCCGCTTGATGCACCGTGGATTCCAAGTGTGTGGGATCATAAGTAGTTTCGAAATAAGTTTGAAAAGCCTTAATATCTTTGGCATGAGTAAACATACCTTTCTTGGATGGTACCTGCACATCGAATGCATCAGTTAGTTTCTGCTGAATAGTAAGAGTATCGAACATATAAGTCTGATAGAACTTTGTCCACCATTCCAGAAACCCCTTTGCTATAAGGTGTGTAGGTTCAAAAGTTATTAGTTCAAAATGGGCAAAGCCTTGGTATTGTTCCTGCTGTAGTTTGGCCTCTCGTGCCTTGAAGGTTCGCCCAGAGGTGATGACATTTTCCGTTTGAAATAGGGGTTCAGGAATTAGTTGGCACAAGCCAAACTGTCTCGAAACGAAGTTGGGCTGATAAGCAAAAAGGAAAATCTGATTCTTAGCAGGAGTTATTCTTGAAGAGATTAGTCTGGGTAGCAAAAAGGCTCTCCATACGTCTTGAATTTCTTTGCTTTTGACAGCTTCTGAGAGAGCCATGGTGAACCATGAAGGTCCATGAGCCCTTGAAGCAAAAGGCGCCATGGTCTCTTCGAACTTATGCCTCTTGGAGAATATCATGATATATTTTGAGAATAGGACTTTGAAGTCATCCTTATCATCGTTTGGGGTTAGTCTTCGCAGCCTAGTGCCTTCGATGATTCTATCTGCTATTTCAGGGTCTTGTTCAGCAATAGTGTTGGCAGTTGATAATGAAGGTTCGAACATGGCATTTAGCCATAACTGAAGTAACCAGAAAGGGCCAGCTAGCAGGATATTCTTGGAGGTGTGAGATTTTAGACTCGAAACAGCTGACCTTAGACTTTCATAAAGATCAACTAATAGCAGTTAGCTTAAGCACACCCTCCGATTCTCATGCAAATCTCTAGCTAGAGGAATAAACCTACTGGCTACCTGTAGGGATCTGCTGCAAAAGACATACCTTGACAACCATAAGGTAAGGAAAGCAATGTGTTCCACATCCGACACACTGTCTCCTTCAGTGTGATAGTGGCTGATAAACTTTGAAAAGCTTGCTAGCTTGACTTCGAAGTCGATAATACTCGAATGCTCTTCGTTGTCAGGGATATATGTTTCTCCTATTGGTGATAGCCCAGTAATGGCCGCTATGTCAAAAAAGGTAGGGGTAATCATTCCACCAGGAAGATGGAAAGTATTGTAAGTACTGTTCCAGAAATATAGGGACGCGAATAACAATGGGTGGCTATAAGTAAAACCTGGCTTCGACAGTTTAATCAAGTTGTAGATACCTAATTCTTCCCATTGCTGGGATTTCTTAGCTTCTACCTTATTAAACCAGTTGTGATAGGCTGTGTCGGAGGTGGGGCAAGATCGATACGGTTTGAAGTTACTCTTTACATAATCTAGTACGAAAGGGTCCTTAGGGGGAACAATTGGATTTTCTACGGTGGTTGAATCAGAAGACTCTATAGTCTTGGGGATATCCATTTTATTAAACAGAGGTTTGAAATTATAGCAAACTGGAAAAAAAATTCTGGTGTCTTTTAAAATTTCAAAGACTGTAAGAGGGCCCATTAAAGCTAACCTCTTGCCAGCAGCATTAGTAGGAATTAGTACCTGGGATGCATAAAGCATTTCTTTCTCTTTTGAGATCATCTGGGGAACAAGAACAGATTGACCTTGGTAGGTGCCAACCTTACTTTCCATTGTAGTTTCTGTGGTCTTTCCTTTCTTTTTGGAAACCTTTTTTATTTGAGATGAAGTTGAAGAAGACATTGTTGGAAGAATGTTGGAAATTTAGGGTTTCGGTGAGAAAAGATGGAGAAAAGATTCAGAAAGTGGGAAGAAAAGAAAATACTAAGTTGATGGGTTTTTTATAATGTGGAAGTTTAAGCATCCACTGAGTAAGATTGTGATACGTGGTAATCGTGGGTTGGTTTGATGAAGAGGTGGCGTAAAGTTAACATTGGTAATAGGCGTGATTAAAGATAATCATTGTTTTGTAACTGCACCATGCTGTGAAATGGTTCAAGGCGGTTAAGGAATCTGAAAAGCGTTGTGATTGACGTGACTGGAGTCATATGCAATAAATGTTACGATGATTCGAAGGTCGCATCAAAATCTTGTGCATATGTTTAAAATAAGTATTTCTCAAAGGAATCGAAATACATATTTTAAAGGGGCATTTTGTTGGCTGAAGATTTTGATGATATTATTAGAAGCAAAGTAAGTTGGACGTTTCGATTGAAATGAAACAAAACGTCATGTTTCGAAATGGTAGAAGCAGTGCTTCGAATGGGCATATCAAAGCTTGGAGCTTCGAGTGGCAGTTATGAGAGTATATTCAAAGAAGCCTCGAAATGATAACAAAGTTGTATCTAAGAAATGCGTTCGAAGCGAAGAAGTGCCAAAACATTTGAAATTCAAATGCAAGCGGGATGTTCGAAATTTGAAATATATGCGCTGGAGCATTCGAAGACGTGTGGAAGCAAGAGAGAGGCATTGCTCTGCATGTTCTGAACGTGGCAGAATCTTATAGCAAGACCGTTATGGTCAAAGTAGTATAAATAGAAGTCTTAACATTAGGATTTTGTGTGTCATATCTATTGTACAAAAAACTCAGTAAACATTCAAATTACCACATGGCTAGGGAAACGAATGCACGAGCAATGTACGTATGATAACACCACATGTTTATGATTTAATGAAAACTCTTTATCATTTCCAGTACTTTCCTTTATCTTCATGTCAATACCATTTACAAGCTTTTGCATTTAAAATGTTTTCATTCGAAATCTTTTTACTGATGCCTTACATTTAAATGCTTTCTTTCCATTTCAAATACTTTACATTTCAGAAACAGTTATACATTTCATGCCTTTATCTTCAAGTTTTTATCATTTGAACACCTTTTTTACTTAAAGTCATTTTACAGTTTTCTTGCATTTAAACGCTTTCTTCATATTTCGAACCTTTTACATTCCAGAGAATCTTTTACATTAACTGTTTTATGATTCGAAGTCATTTATTTGTCTTTTATGCAGTTTTTACATGTCTTTACAATTGACCTTTATTCATGCAATTTAATTTCGCGCACATTTACTTGATCACACCTTTAGATCTTTAATAGAGAAATCGAAATAAGTTAAACACCTACACAACATTCTAAATACCAACCATGAATACCAGTTCGATCATGAGAGTTACCCTAATGACCAACACGTCCTAGGATCAATCTAGTCGATCCTGCGAGTTACCAGAGAAATTGAATAACAGTCAGTAAGATTATTCGATAGTTTGGAGGACTAGCGGTTGTTTACCAGAAATCACTGTAAACACACACGCATCTGAATCATCCAACGATTCCAATTTTTGCCATTAAATACTGGAAGTTTGGTGCTTAGCCTACCATTTCCGGTCATCTTCAACCTTGTGCAAGTCACTCAGATCTCACAAACACTGTGTTTCTCAATCCCACAAAATCAAAAAAATATGACTTTGTTCTGATTTTGTTCACGATTCAACACAAATTCAATAAAAATATATCATTTTGCCATGTCATATAAATTTTTAAAAAATGACAGTCTAACTTGACAGAATTCATGATCGTGATTGATTAACAATGTAAATTTTTTTATATATTATTAGTGTATCAAAACTTCAAAATTTTTAAACTAATGAAGACGGCAAATCATGTTTCTATTATATAATTGCAGTTACTAAAACAATACAATCACGCGGTCAACAATTCTAGTCATTCGATTTAAATCTAATAATTTAAATATAATTTCAGTATTTTTGAATTATATAATAAATTATAAATTATATTACTTAGAACCATTAGATCTAGATCAGAAGGTCAATAAATCCCTGACTGCGCAAATCCTGTTTCTGATTATATAGAATCTCAACAAATTAAGAGTTTGATATTGTTTTCCCGCTCTTGTCCCTCGTTTCTCTCTAACAGACTCCGACTGTAGCCATTCGTTCCAGCTCCGGCACCGGCTCCGAAGATGACAGTGAAACGGTAGCATCGTTCAAAATCAATCTCATTTGTAACTTTGTCCTCTTTAAACTAAAATCAAAATGTTGTTTTAGGCTTCTTTACTGGAAACCGAACCAAGAATCTGCAATAAACAGCCATACAGTGAACAAAATCTCAGAGTGTGTGAAGAAATTCAACGGCGTGAAAGAAGGAACATGGAAAACCGAACTCAGTTATTACAGACCCAATTTAGTTGATCGATCAAAGCTTGTTGAATTCCCAAGCGACGCTTTCGGATTATATCTCATAGGAAATCCCAGCAAATATTACTTTGTCATTTTGAAACATAACATTGTTCTCCAGGCTGATCCCTCCATCCTCACTATCATGGATAAACTCCAATCTTACCTTTCTAATGTTATCCTTCATTTTGAGGTTTACTAATTTTTTTTAATTTATTGTTTTTTTGTTGTTGTGATGATGATGATGATAATGATGATGATGATGGTGCAGGGTGTGCAGTATAAACTGGGTGACTTTCAGTTCAAATTGATTAAAGTTCTTACTCGTTATAACAATCTCAGAGGCATTTTAGTGGAGGTAACAACTTTTTAATTCTTGGTCATTGCATTGCATGTTTGTTACTTCGAGTGTATACAAACCAACCACACTCGAAGTTTACTACACCAATTTTGAAACATGCTATCATAAGGCTAAACATGCAAATGTGTCTATTCAGTTTGCTTGGTTATCAATTGTGTGCGTGTATGAAAAGTTATCATTGTTTGTGGAAATCACAATCATTAGCAATTTTACAAGGTCGTTTTCTTATTCTTATGCTATACGTTTAAATGTGGAATAAAAGAAACTTGTTTATCAGATAACAAGTTATAAGGGTTTTTCAAGAAACAGCATCTTATCACTTTGCAAAAGAGAAAGGACAATATTTTGAGGGGTACATAAATAATAAACTTAATTACAGTTTCAATCTACTTATTTTACTTCATTCACGAAATTAACTTTCCTATTTCAAATTCAAATACTTTTATTTTCCTTTCATTTTTCTAATTAAAATTTATGATGCTTATTGAATATATATACATTTTATTACGATTGTAATAACATGTTTTTTTGGCTTTAAGTTGAAAATTTGAATTCAGTCCTCGGTAAATTTTAGTTTTTTTTATAAGCAATGAAGATATATTAAAATCAAATATAAGAGATATTCAATCCAATAAAAAAAAAAAAGCAACCTGAGAAAGCAAAAACCATCTAATACAAAAAATTGGATAAGAAGTCTAAACACTAAAATCAGCTATAACATTGAATTTACAAGTCGCCTCGAATCAATATCTTTCACCCCTTTGCGATCTTTCCTAAAAAGAATATGGTTTCTTGTTAACCAATTTGCCAAAGCAGTAGAAACCCAAAAAAGAAGGTGTGAGTTCATTTTATACGACCATTCAAGAGGATGTTTCAAGCTAACAAATGATCTAAGACTCAGTTGTAACATTCAATTTTTTAATAATTAGTTATTTAAATTATTTGTGTGATTTTGTGTGTAGTTGGTTATTTAAATTATTTGCTATGTGTGCTATGTGATGGGTTAGTCGAGTTAAGTACGTCGAACCGTAGTATTATAATTAGTAAGAATGTCGGTTATGATAGAATTATTTTATTAGTGATAATTATATAGAAATAATAGAATATAGGTAATTGGGCCTATTGGGTGAGAAAGGAAGAGTAATATGGGGGTGGGTTAGCAAGCCCATTAGTGGTTACTAGAGGTTGTATTTTATAAGGGTTTAATAGAAAGAGAAAATAGAGTTAGTAAGAGGAATAGCAAAAGAGAAGAGAAAAAGTTTCACGAGAAAAGAAGAGAAGGACAAGAAAGAGGAGAAAATGGCAAGAACACCAAAGTTAGTGGAATCAACCTAAAACAAGGTAAGGGTGGGTTTTTACTTAATCATCGGGATTGTATGATAATGTATGATGGGTAGAATCATGTTTAGAATGCAAATTTACCAATTAGGTTTTGGTAATTGTAGGCTTTGAATGATAAATCTTGATATGTGATGATTGATTGTGTTGGGATATTTTGGTTGATAAATACATGTTAGATATATGTTATAATGTGTCAAACCGTAGCAATTGTATGTTAAAAATGTGTTTTAGGGGTCAAAATCGCATAGAGAATAATGTCTGCGCACAAACAGGGCATGTTATACCAATGGCGTTCACCATTAGCCTTATGGCGTTCGCCATGATGTCTCAGAAGCAAATATAACTTCAAAATTTCATATATTTTGAACCGTAACTCCATTTTGAGTATCGTTCGAAGCTTTAGAAAGCTAGTGCAATAATATTTTCAATAAAAATAATTTTGTTGGCAGTAGATGATGTAATTATTATGTGGTTGTATAAAATGACATGTATATGTGTTATGCGTATTGGTGATTGATGTTGGATTGTAACGGTGTTTGGTACATTGTTTATTATGTGTTATGAGTATATTTTGATGCAGGGATACTATGAATATGAATTGCATGTGAATAATTCATGAGTATGTGTATGTATATGCAAATGTGTGGTGATTCAAGTGTGATGAATTATTAAAGATATGCATGGATGTTAAGAGTAGAGAGTGATCTTAATTGCATATGGTTGTTGTAATTGTACATGTGGCATTTGTTGTCAAGAGGCATGCTTGTTAGTTTCAAGGAGCTAGTGACTTGTCCCAAACCTAGAGAGAGGTTTGAAAGCTTAGAGGACAGGCTTTTTCTGTGTTATTTGTCTAGAGGACGAACCCAATTTAAAGTAAAAACTGAATAAAAATAACAGTGATTGGTACCACATGCATGAGTATTGCATTTGAGTTTCATTTAGTCACATTGTGTGTATGTTTGTAATATGGAATTATGTTAACTATGTGAGTGTTAGCTCCTAAATTCGACACCCACATATATTGGCCTTATTGGCTAAAAATAGATTGAAGAAATCTAAGCTGAAGACACTTCGACAGAAGAGCCTTTGAAAGGAGTTGTGTCGAAGTCATCCTTGCTAAGAAGGAGGAAACACTTAGATAATTTTCTAAGTTAAAGACAGTCTTCGACCGAGAGGCTCTTGTATCAGCAACAAGTGGATTTAAATTTAAAGAAAGGAGGAAAAGACAATTCATTTGGTAGTTGGGAAAAGAGATGTGGCGTGAAGATTGGGGTCGAAGAGCATGCAGAGGACACTTGTCCTCATCCTGGAATGAAGCAATTGTTCGACAGTTACTTATTACTAGTATAAATATAGGAATTTTGTGTAGAATTTCGTGTGTTCAACTCATTGTACAAGTCACTCAATTTTATTCAAGTACCCGCTGCGAGAAAAAGAATATTGAGAATGTATGTTTGAATCACCATACTTTATTTCAATCGAAGTCTTTACATTTCTTTACAATCCATGCCATTTAACATTTCTCTGCAAACTTTACCATTACAGCCTTTTAAATTACTGCAAATTTACTTTATCCTACACTTTACTTGCGTTTTTATCAAGTTTTTACCTTCATCCTACCTTTACTCTTAGTATCCTGTCGAACCTATTCATGAACAACGTTAAGACTTCTTATCAAACCCCAAAAATACTTAGCATATGTCCTAGGATCAAACTGATCGATCATGCATGTAACCAAAATAACCTTTTTTGGAAGACCAGTGGTTGTTTACCAATTTTCACGGTAAACAAATTGGCACGCCCAGTAGGACGTTACTAAGTTTTTATTTTTTTTACAAACTTTGGTAAAAACAGTTTTTATCATAAATGCTTTACGTAATTTTTCTTTCTCTCAAGAGCGTTGTATGTTATTGAGAATTGGTAAATCAACCACCAAAGAGTACATACCTATGAGAAGAAATAGGAGAATGGCTAATCAGGCAAGTAGTGGAGAAATTCCTCCACCAATTCCTGGCAATGGAACCATGGTTATACCAACAATTAGTGAACCTGTGCCATCAACGGTTGTGTGATACAGTGGTAGAACCGACATTTTAATGTTGGTTTTGTGTTTTGTATTTGCAAATGTCGCGGTAAGCAAGAGTTGCCACCGACTTTTCTTTTATCCAACAAAGGAAAGGGTGAAAAGAACATAAAAAGACCTTTTTCGAGATTTTCTGAGTAAGGGGGTAGATTATGGAAAGGAAAGGTGTTAGCACCCTTTCCATCTGTGGTTTTCCACGGGCTCTTAGGTACTTGCTCATTTTTGAAAATTTCTTTCGTGTTTGTGTGTTTTGAAAAGCTTGTTTGCTTTATGATAACTCTTGTATCAGTCCTCAAGAGTGTTGATAAAGCGTTTTTGAAAAATGTTTTGAAAGTGTAGTGTGAAAAAGTTGTTTTTGAGCAAGTATCCAACAGTTATCTACCTACTCGAAAAATGTGTTCTTTTCCTCCTTTCCTTTAGATAGTGCTATCCTACTATTAGTGAGTAGGTAGCCTTATCGTTTGGATGTTGAGGGACTATCGAAGGGATGTTTACGGTCACTAAGACAACTGGGCAAGAACTTTTAGTAATTATCCTAAAGTTCTAAGATCACTTTTTAACTGAGGCGGCGTCGAAAGGGTCATCGAGGGACTTGTGATCTCTTGAACTAAAGGACAACCACTAAAAATTATCATGTTTCAAGAATTGTGACAGTTTCCGAAGGCAACCGAAGTGGGAGATACCCTAGGAGTGAGCATGTGCAAGTGTGTTGATTCAGTTCATTTATCTTGCACATTTAGGGTTATCTAATTGTTTTAATTTACAGTCTTTCCATGCAAACCTAATTACTAGCAGTTAATAGTGCAGAAAGTAAAAACAGGAAGATAAAGTCCTATGCTATTACAGGGTCTCGGGGAAGGGGATTTACAAGTTCAACAATTGGGGGAATAAACAGTAAATAAACCCTAATTTTAAACTATTACAAATTGTATACAGATACATTAAATGAAAAATAATAGTACGAAAAATAACAACGCACAAAAGTTAAGACGGGAATAAGTTTGACAAAGCCTAAGAATCTAATTGTTTAATAAAAATATTTTTGGTATTTTATATGAAAAAGATTTGAGATTTAACCTAATTTCTAATTAATTTTAAATTAAAGAAAACAAGTTAAAATCAATTAAATTAAATTAATTTACAAGAGTTAATTTTAATTATAAAAAAAAACCTAAGTCTATTTTTTGTGATTTTTGTTGATTTTATGATTAAAATAAAAATGAATTTAAAAAACATAAACTAAATAAAAATAAAATAAAGTAAGTTAAAAAAAAGAATGAAATGGGTCTGGTGTATGAAACAGTTTGGGGGGTGTGGCGTTGCAATTTGTGTTGGGTCCAAATGCACAAGCCCAATGCCTTCCTGATCCAGTGTTGCTTATTCTCTAGAGGTCCATCCTGGGGAAGCACTCCAGGAGCGCTGGATCTAGATCAATGAAGATCTGATGGCTAGATTTGAGGGTGCAATGTATACGCGCTGGATGGCAATGCGTTGGATCTGAAACAAATTTGTTAGAAAATACAAAATATAGGATTTTGGGATCGAATCCAGATCCTTCCTCTCACACGCCTTATGCCTTTATCATTTG